TTAACGATATATCGATGGGAGCTGTTTCGCGCGAGTTTGTCCTGGTGGGTCCTGAGTTTGTCCGATAGATCGGAAAATCTATTCAAAAGCTCCTCGTAGCTGCTCGCGCGAACGGCGTAAGCACCGATCGTGTAATATTACTTGGTAAACGCCAGCGGGCGGATGGATGCGAGAACCAAACAGGAGGGCAAGGAAGGAGATGAAGAGTGGGAGAGAGGGAGCGAGGAAATTTGCAAGAAACTATATTTACGAAGCTCGTTCCGGAACATTGACCGACGGAGAGAGAAGTTACACCGGTGGAAGCCGCTCGAAGGTGTTCCGGGAGACCGCAGCGGCAGTTTTTCTTTTCTGATGTACAAGCAAGAACCTAAACGCTTCTCTAAACGTTCTCGCTCCTTGTTGCATACATCGACAACGGATAGGGACGATGCCTCAGCGCGCGATCCTTTTATTTCTACCGGTTTATTGGATGCCGTGGACGTAAGGACGAAGGACCTAGTCCTTCACGGGAAGGAACGATGCGGTTTCTTTCCGCTTGGACGGATAGAAGAAAGAAGAAAGAGAGAGAGAAAGAGAAAGAAAGGAAGCTCCTTTCCACCTTGAAACGGCCACAAAGAATATCGAGCCCTTCCGTTCTCTTCCTCTCCTCTTCCGACATCCGCGCGCAGCTCCAACACACAGGAAGTCTACTTTGACATTGTTCGTAGACTATCGACTGCGCTCACAAAAAGTTGCCGCCTTCACCGGCAAGCAGAGCTCGATATTTTTCCAAAAAGACTCGCTGGTACATGCATCACCACAGCGATCTCATAAGTAATGCCCGATTATTTTGCGAGGTGCGACAGGTTTATGAAGCGGAATTCAATCTCCCGAACAGTTCCTCAGATGTTAGCGCGATGTTCCCATCAAGGGCAATTAACAGGTCCTCATCAAATTTTATGGGGCGGCTCAAGTGTTTTATTGATCAAATAATAATTACCAAGTCCTATTCTCTGTTTTTCATATCTTAGTCGATATGTCCTTTCATTATTAGAATTTCTGCGAATACATCCTATGCAATTATTTTAGTTTTATTTTAATTTCTTTTTCATTTATATGCAAGACGTAATGTTCAGATAAAGTCTTCACTAGCAATAAAAAGAGAAGAATTACAATGCTCCAAAATTTATTTTCAATTGATCAAATCACGCACATTGTAATACGATATACTTCATAATTTTATGACCCGCTTCATTTAAAAATTATACACAGATCAGTCGCTGCAATGTAATGAACCATAGTCATTCGAAAAATTTAATTTCTCTGTGTGAAAAATCTTGTAAGATATTACAAGAAATTAAATAATATTTAAGAAAAAATGCATTAATAATCATGTAATTAACTGCACATTATAAAATAACTGAAAATAAAAGATATAGAATAAAATGAAAGATATACGATAAAACAAACACATGAAAGAAAAATTCGTTTTTCCAAAAGTTTCGGAAACCACTCGGGTTATTTTGATATGACTTTGTGTTTAAAAAGCTCATTTTTTACATTATTTTTTTAACCAATCAAGAGCGGAAAGATAAGCGGATATCTTTGAAACTAAGCCATTTCGGATATATGATTAAAAGAATTTTCATTTTTCGTACATTTATGAGAAATATCTCTTAGAATTTTTTGGAGTATTTAAGGACTATTCTACCAAATGAAAGGCTATATTCTAAAAATGTATATATGTATATAATGTCCATAGTAAAAAAGTTACTTTACGTGCATGTGCGTACATTTTTAATCTATTTCATAATTTCACACTTATTATTACATTAATTTATTTTTTCTCTGCTTCTTAAAGTATCTAGAAAATTGTAGCCGATACGCTTTTGTCGACGATCTCGAAACTGAATCATCGTATTATTATCAATAACGATACAGCGCGGTACGCGTGAAAAAATTTCAAATCGATTGGATTCTCTTTCTCGTATCGCTTCGGGAACGAGAGGCGATCGTTTCTCCGCGGTGAAATCTGGGCGTCGGCGTCTAGATAAGGGTAAGAGAAAAAGGAAGAAGAATAGGTAAGAGGAGGAAGGTGCGGAGAGGAAAGATCGAAGGAGGTAAATTGCCCCGAGATATTTAATCCCGCGGAAAGGCCGAGGGATCTCTCCTTTATTGGCTCGGCGAGTGAGCAACGACGGGCGAGATAAGTTTCCCGTCGGATCGATGGCCAATCGCGTTAAGCGATTTTCGCGCCTCGTTATCCTTTGTTTCCATCCGGTGGACGGTCGACTGCATCTCGTCGACGACGGCACGACGTCGACGGCGATGCTCCTTCGTCTTTCGTGACGTCGAAGGATCGATTTTATATCGCGTCGCTCGCGTTTCTCTCTATCTTTCTCTCCGTCTCTCACTTCCATCGTCTACGCGAAGAATCGCCGACTTTCACATTCCTCAATGCCAGGGGAAATTACCGAGGGGTAAACTGCGTCCCGGTGAGAGCGACTTCTCCGTACGAGACTTTCCGATAGCGACGAGATAGTGAACGAGAATGATTTTCAATTGAGATACCCCCACGTAACTTTGTACTCGTGAAATCGCTCTCGTCTCCTTTCTGTCTCTCCCTTGAGATATTACGAATTAATTAGATGTTCCGAGACAAGGAAAAATCTTTCAGACAGTTTACAAGTATACATACACTTATATACAGCAAAATTACGTTTGGTATCGTAAAATATACAAGAGATATTTATTGATTGATTTATATTCAATAATTTTTAAGTGTACTTTAGTATTAATTAAACCAGTAAAAAGTATAAAAAGTTTCTTAAATTTATAATCTTTTTCTTGAATTTATCTAAATTATTTAATTTGCTATTAAAATCTATTCATCAAAAAGCTGTTTAATTAAATATTCTATAATTATTACACCGCTAAAATTTGTTTTATTACAAGCAAATGTTATAGAAATACATATATAATCTATAATTCAAAATTCGAGAAATGCTATTCTCTCTCTCTCTCTCTCTCGCGATACGATTATTAAAATTTTTGCGATCGTAATTTCATCATAATTCATGCAAAGTGAGAATGAAACGAGAATAAGGGTAATAGCGAGGCGACGTTGCTTCGACATCATTGCCGTCGTCATAGTCGTCATCGTCGCCGTCGCCGTCGTCGTCGTCGCCGTTGTTGCTGTTTTCATCCACCAGCTCCGTCGACACGGAGGAGCTTGAATTAAACTCCATTTTCATAGAGCGCGCGCATCGCGATTGAATTGCCACCCGCTTGGCTTTGCGCGCCAAGTGCTTTCGGAAATTAAGCGACATTGTGCCTTAACGAATGGGATTCATGCGAATATGGCCTACGTCCTCCTGCCGAACGGCCTGGAAAATTTGCCCACCAAGACGCAAGAATGGAAGAAAAGTGGCAGCGATCCGGTCGCATCCCCGGATGCGAAGGGACTGCGAGTCAATTTCAGGGTTCGTTTACAGCCCTTTCGAGAATAACAGCAAGGTTGGCACAAGGTATCCACCTCCATAAAATTATCATAAAATTAACATTTTTAACTCCTTTAATGATGAAAACGACTAGCTCTGAATTAATTTTGCCCAAGGAAAAAAGTAAAACGCATTTCCATATTCGTTTAAGTTTAAAGAATATCTCAATTATAAAAATGTTAATGAGACATATTTTGGAAATGTATCGCTTATATTTTTTTCTTCATAAAGACCCTTATCAATTGTAATATAATTTTTAAAAAATATCGTTTACGTCGTAAATATCGTAATAAAGTAATTAATTAAGACATCTGTAATACGCGACTTCTCTAAAATTTGATACTTTAAAGCTTAATTTTACGCAAATTGTATACTTGATCATTAATTAGGATTTTTATTGTTGCCGTCGTGTTCTGTTGATACCAACTTAAATCGATGGCAATTCATTATAGTTCTCCATAAAGAAGCAAAGGTATAAGGCGGCGGATTCATCGAGAAAGCGAGAAAATTAATACAAAAGACGCACAAAGAGGGCACAAAAGTAAGGGTTCGCCGGGGGCGGTCAAAGGGGCGAATATTCCTCCTTGGAAGGCGAGACGTTATTGCTCCGGTGGCGAGTTCATGGCGGTTAATGGTGGTGGTGGTTTACGGCGGTGGCCACGGCGGTACCGCCGGTCTCGTACCAGGCAATATCTGGTCAGTCACGTAGACTGACCTCAGCACCGGAGCAATAACGACGCCCGTCTGGACGTTTCTCCGTCGCCGTCATCGCGTACGTGGAGGACGGCGAGCGGAGGAGGTTGCCATCCCGCGTCGGTGGTGCGATCATCACATGGAAAACAGCGTTCTTTCCTTGGACTTTCCTTCGGGTGGCATTAGGGACGTTACTTCGACATAATGTGACGTCGAATGTAGAGCTTTGTCGCGAGATGCGCTTTACGAGAAAAATTTGCCAAAAAATGGTAAAATGCCGTAACAGACATTTCGCTAATTAAGTATTAAATTAACTTCATCATAACATCGCGCGAGTCGCAGAAGGTTCGTATTTTGGAAATAAATCAATAGAAATAAAAAAATTGATTAAAAGTTTTTTTTTCTTCTTTTTTTCTTATCTTCTCAAATTTCTAAGAGCCTCATGTTATTTTAATAAACTATAATCATAATGATTAATATTTGACATGCTCACAGTTTTTTTGCATTTAATTAATATCATATATGTTTTTATTTCAAAATAACGCTACATTTACAGAGATAATCTTTTTCAAGAAAACAATGATATTCTCTAATAAATAATATTCTTTTCGGGACTGAATCGTAACGATTGATATTTGTGCGTATATTATGTGAAATAATATATAATATGCATTGTTTTTTTTTTAATATTACCATTTAATTTAACCCAGTATTCTTATTGACGTACCTTGTCAATTGTGTGACTATCACATTCATGTATACGCGGGAGTGCATGAAGCACAAAAGAACTTTTTGTGATATAGATAGAGATATATATGTGGCACTCACCGTACATCTTCCCTTCGTCGGAAAGGATGATTTTGCGTCGACCACATGGCGGATATATGGTAAGAGCTTCCTGGAAGCTCTGTTCGATATCCGGCGACCACACACCCTCCGCGTCCGCTGCCGACAAGTCCTTCTCGTCCTGAAATATATCACCTAATCTAGAGTAGGCTAAAAAGGACGGATTGCAATTATCGTACATCAGCTATGCGTCTTTAATCTTAGTTAGGCTTCCGCAGAAAAAAATTGCATGCTCTCAGTAATCTCGTGAACTATAAATATAATAAATATAATAAAAGAATAATGTATGTTCATGACATGACATACTAATTTTTAAATTAAAATTGTCAATCAATCATTTCAATTATCAATCAAATAATTTCTTTACTTCTAAATAACTATTACTCATGGAAATGACAAATTAACCATTTATGCTCTTATATCAATTTATGACAGAATAGATTAAGCCAATTCTTTATATATATTTTAAATAGTGAGGGTGATTATAATTATCAAATCATATTTTAAAAACAAAGAATTTTATGAGAGATTATAACAAAATAGAAATACAATTTTAATATTCGATAAGAGTTTCGATCACTTATTCAATTCTATAAATACAATTATATAAATATTGCAAAACTTGCATTGACACAAATGCATGTCCAGCTATCGGTTCCAACTCGAGTTCTTATCATCTATCAATTTCCAGTTAAAAACGTTCTCCATTCTGAGGCAATTCAATTATGATTCTCAGGCAAACATTCATCACGTTCGTCACAGGAGGGTGCCTTCGCCGCGATGCATTTCGATGACCCGAGCACGTTCGACACGAGAAAAGTTCATTTATCTTTGATTCCACCGCTGATCGTGCGCGCGCGCGCGCGCACGCGTGCGATTTATCTGCCGCATCTATCGCGAACGTGGTCGGACCTCAGAGATCTTCCTCCCTCTGAAACAAAGGATCTCCAACAGCCGCGAAGCCACGCCTGGAACGTGGCCGAGTGAGTGGACTTGATCCTTTCTCCTTCTCTCTTGCCGAATCGAGAGAATGTCTCGCATTCTCGCCTCTTTCGTACGTTTTTCTTTCGCTCGTCCATCGCGTCGAGATCCGCACGATGTGCAGGGGTATCTTCGAAGGGTGACGACGTTGCGCGAATACGCGATACACGGAAACATCCAGTAGTCCGAGTAGTACTACTTCGTTGGGACTGGAATTTCAACGAATCAAAAACTTCCGTGCCGCACGAAGAGGAACGTGTGATTCCCGCGTTTCTCCGTGCCGAGAAATGGACGATTATCCTGAGTGTTTAGATACCGAGAAGTGCGGAAAGGGTGCAAGGAAACAGGCTTGTCTCTTCCGAGAATCCTAGTCACGTTCACAACGTTCGATATATAATATCGTCGCACACGCGATCCAAAACGGGAAACTCTCCAGATGGTACGAAAAAATTCTCGATTTGATCTCATCCGTGTCGATCAAGAATTATAAAAATCAATTCTACTGTTATAAGTCGCTCGTATGCGTGACTGAATAGTTTTTCGAGAACATATACAGGGTGTTAGTTAAGTATGTTCCCAAACTGAACAAAGCGATTCTTTGGTTTATTTCAAGTAAAAAAAAGTCCATATAAACATGTGTTTTAAACGGCTTAGTTTCCGAAATAAAAAAATTTAAACGTGTAGTAATAATCTGTTTATTTGAAAGAAAATACAACTTGAACTAGTCAAAAACTAGTCAAAAACAGAAAAACAAAAACAGGCTTCAGTTCTTCTGACGAAATAAAACAATTAGATGAAAATGTCCACCTTGCGTCATGATACATCCATCGAGCCTTCTTCTCAAAGATTGACGTACAAGCTCAAAGATATCAGGTGTATTACGTATTGCCTCGCATGAAGCAACTATTCGATTCCTCAAATCATTCTCATTCTCAATTGGGGTGATATAAACCAATGATTTCAGATGCCCCCAAAGGAAATAATCCAAAGGATTTAAGTCTGGTGATCTAGGAGGCCAAGGTTGAGTTCCTGCTCGACCTATCCTGTATTTCGGAAACTAAGTCGTTTAGGACACATGTTTATATGGACTTTTTTACTTGAAATAAACCAAAGAATCGCTCTGTTGAGTTTGGGAACATACTTAACTAACACCCTGTATGTATTGTTTGTATATCAAACAAAAAAGAAATCTTGCGCTTTCTTTTCACTCTCCATAATAAATGAATATAGAAATAATAAATATTAAATGATTAAAAAAACAAGTAAAATGTTTAAATGTCTTCATCATGTTGAAAAAATTACACGCAAAAGAAGGCAAAGAGAAAGCCAGAGAGTTAAATTGCATAGTCGACGTCCAGCTTTGAAGTGGCTACATATGTCTGACCTAAATAAATCCAATTTGCATGTGCCAAAGTTAACGAATTAACGTTTAAATAATTCTGTGCATTTTCATATTCATTTTAGTATTCACGATGTTGTTTTACTTACATAGTAGAATATATTTCAAAATGTAAATTAGTTTTCCATATAAAATAACCATGAAAGTGATTTATTCTTAAATCGTAAAATTTATTGAAATATTAAAATTTCTTATTAAATAAATTCCTTCGTTTGAAAAACTAGTTTCTTTCGACATCATGTAATTTCATTAGTTAGTATATATCAAACATAATATTAACCATAAATTTATAGTATTAATTTACGTCGAAAATTATAAAATAATGTTACAATAAATTATCGTTAAATTTCCATTTAGCGATATAAACTCTTATAATGATTTTAAGATCATTCTTTATTATACATTTTGAAATAACTTTTTCTATGCCAAATTTAAAAGTATGATATTTCGGAAATGCGGAATGTGATTATGCTCGTTTATAGTAGCATAAAATAAGATTGAAGATCGCTGACTGACTTCGTTCAGCAAAGAAAGCAACTCTGTAATTGTTATAAAATTCTGTAATATGATTGATCTTGCTATTAGTTCCTCATTAGGGAACAATAAATGTGTAAACCAATCGTATCAAAAAATTTTACAACAAATTCCAAGCTGCTTTCTTTGCTAAACGTAACCGATGAGAACAAAACAAGAAAGAGAATCACATCGTTCAATATGTTAAAGAAATTATTAGAATAATTTTAAAAAATTGTGCACGCGTATTATTATATTATCAACAACAAAATTGAATCGTACAGTTTGACAAAATCACTTTTCTCTATCCGAAGTGTACAGTACATACTCCAAAAATTTTGTCGCGTTCAACACGATGTCGTTGTCAGAATTTGCATAGAATGTCAGAGGATTTTGAGCAAATTGGAGTGAAATGGGCCAAAAAAAGTATTTCTGATCCATTTCACCCTAATCTATTATAAATCCTAACGTGCTACATAAATTTTAACAATAACATCATATTCAACGCAAAAAAATCTTCGGAATACACTATGATACTTGAGAGAGAATTTGGTGTTGAATCGTGTTAATATGACATAAATTGGACATAAGGACTTGTTAACATTCTTTTTTTATAAATCTTATACAATGTACTACGTAATATTAATGAAAAAACTCATCAAAAACTGGCAAAAAAGTGTAATCATTTTCTATCAATTTTTATCAGCTTTGCAAATATTAAATCAAATAACAACCATGTCTACATTTTACAACGAGGAATTTTACTAATTGTCAGCCGGAATTTTTTGCGTACAATAATAGCAAGAGAGTAACGATAAATGTCGTCTCTACCACGAAAGTTTAAGCGTTGTATACTTCCGTGATATATAAGTAAATGTGAGCCGCAGGAAAGCTCCCTTCAAACTCAGGTCGGCGAGTTAATTGAAATAAAAAGGGCGCTGAGACTACGCTCGCAGTCGTCCTTAATTGGCGACGGCACAGTTGACTTACATCGCTAATTTCGCCAACGTCGAGGTTCTTCGTATCCGAGCCGGAGCCGTTGGCGTCGGGCGGCGGCCCGGAACTCGCGGGGGTCCACGGCGCGGAAATGGTGTCGGCTGCAGCCACCGCACTGCCTGTAACAAAACGAGGAACGTACCCGGTTTATTAACTTCTCTCGGAAAAATCCCAGTTTCAAGCTGCGCTCGTAGTCCAGCTTCGCAAACTGAGTTTATGAGAATGACCTAGATTTATTTTGCGAGACAGAAAGTTATTACTGTCTCGCAAAATGAATCTATAACCATAAATAAGCTTTTCGTAAAAGTATGACCATAAATAAGCTCCTCGTAAAAGTTATGTTTAAAGTCAAGTTTGCGGTACCAAAAGAACAGTGTCGAAAGTAAATGTGTTGAAAGTAAATAAAGCGTGAAATATACTAGTAAAGATTAGTAAAACGAAAACTATATATAATAAAAGAATAGAAAAAAGCAAAGCTCAGGTTATTTTATTGCGTCTCCGAGTAGCGAATAGTGTTTTATAATATATATATAACGTACGTAATAATCTAAATAATAATAACAATTCCAATCTTGATCATAATATTAGTATGATAAAGCAAGTAGCAAAATGTTTCATAACAAATTCGTAGTAAATATATTATCTGCAGTTTGAAAATCATTGCAGTATATATTCCTTCAGAACTTTTGCATACACATTCCCAATTTTATATGCGTGATTGTTTATAACAACGTTCGCTAGAAAATAATGAATTAATTTCGTTCGCTATCATGCAGTGAACTCGATTTTGACAATGGAATATTATCCTATCGAATTAGATACGCGGGGAATGAATAGAGCGTAGGGGATACACGTATGCTGCGCACGGAGAGGGAGGCGGAAAAATCAGCACGTGAAAAATCGCGACCGTGGAAAGGTAAAAGGGAGGAGGGGGGCAGAGAGACGGCACGTCGTCGTTCTACGCTCGTCGGAGCAACAAGTGTTCGCTGATATCGCGTATCAGTGCAGCGGGTGGGGGTAGCTCGTAGGCGGTACACTCCGCCTACCGAGGGTGGAGTGTGTATGTTAAGCCCCCAGAAAAGACCCCTATTCCCTGGCTCGGTTCGTACCACCGGTGGCGGTGCAAATCCCGATCCGTAGCAACAACCACCCCCGAGCCAAAAGCGGAACGTGCCTCCCCCCCTTTCTCGCCCTACGTCCCTCATCCCCTGTGGCATTCGTCGCGATGACGAAATTCATCGGAGAATCATTCGCGGAGGTCTGCGCGCATGTACCGGCCATTCCACGGCTCTCGGAGAATCAAGAGATGGGTAATTGTTAATTATACGCAGATATTCGTGTTACGCGTTCCACTTTATGCATTTGGGGGAAAGGCCAAGGGAGGGAAAGTTGGGGGATTGTTCGGCTTACTTAGTGGGCCAACAGATTTGAGACAGCTGACTGTTGAACGTCTCTTTTTCTCTTTGAGAAGCAAGTTGACAATAGTCGATATATCTTCGAGAAAAATTATTGCATTATTAATTTATTTATTATGCAGAACTCTCAATGGAAATTTGCTTCATCATACTTAGTATTTTACTTTAATATACATATTTATACGTATTTCATTTTGTTATTAATAAAATTTATTTTAGCCACTTTAAAAATAATAGGCGTTGTATACGATAAACAATCAATGGCTGCGTTTATAAAAAAAAAACAGCTTTGCAACTGTTGTAAAATTCTTGAATATGATTAGTTTCTATATTTAGATCCAGTGAAGAACTAAGAGTAAGACCAATATTAAAGAATTTTACAATAGTTAGTTGCAAAGCTGCTTTTTCTGCTGAACGCAGCCATATGTTCCCAATAAATTAAAAAATATTTTTAGTCGATATAATTGAAATTAAAGAAACGAGTAAATAAAAATACTTTTATCACATTTTTATAAAAATTACATTATTATTATACAATACATATATTCAACATATGTTTATTTTTCTCGTTTGTACATTTTATTTTATGATCAAAATTCTCCTTCGCCTTCTCTTCCTCGATATTCACCATTCTTATATCAAAAAGCGCATCATTTTTCATATATATGTAATATTCTTCTTTATATTATTCTTATAACACTAAAGTCCTTTTCTATAAATTTTGATAATTATTAAAAAATGTTAAAAAAAAATGTAGATACTATTGTCTTTCCTAGCTTAACTCGTGAATGAACATGTACGTTTGCGACGCTTTACATAAAGATAGGCAAACTGTCAGGGGTGTATGTTTCTCCTGAAAATGCACGGAAGCGAGCCGCAATCATCCGGTGGGTGGTCGTGGCTAACGGCGAACATGCTCATATGCAGCCGGAAAATGAGCGGTAGGTTAATAGAGACGCGAGATGCGGTCGCGTACTTGCGCGCACGTGCACGTACAACAGCTACACGTACACGTGTGTGTGTGTGTGAACATGTGCATACGAGCTTGTGCTAGATCGAGCGCGCGACGCTAGAATGGCAGAAGACATAGATCATGGCGGATGACGTATGATTGCATTCGGTGCTCTTGTTGGCAACGAAGAAGAGGGGGAGGAGAGAAGAGAATCGAGGTTACCCAGGGGATGGAAATGTTCAGATGAAGGATAGGGTATGACCAGGCCGACCGTGATAGGGTGCAGGAACTTCGAGGGGGAGAACGCCTCTCGCCGGCGAAACCTCGGAATGTCCTGGCCACTACTATGATCGCGCGAGATCGCGGACGTATGCATCCTTCTCCATTATCCGCGCTGCCGCTCGGTGCCAGATATTACGGTGCTAGATTTCCCGGCTCTCGTTGAGTAATGATCGAGTCGCGACAAATTTTCGGCCCGCAAAGAGGGACGGGGCGGGGGGCGAGCATCGGTCGAATAGGTCGGATTATTCAGTAGATGCTTAGATCTCTACTAAGCCAATACTTAAGACAGCATTTGATTAATTTTGTATAATGATACGTACTTTCTGTAAAATGATAATATTAATTTCTTTATGTAGTAAAGCTTCTTTTGAAACTTGGAAAATGTTTTAAATTCATGTCTTATAAACATTGTAATAATTAAAATACATATAAAAATAGATACAGTCGTAAGGCAATCTCACGCAAATGTATATATCACTTCCTTGCTTCAAAAGTGATACAACTTCAAAAATTAAACCAGAAAAAGGGAAAAACTATTTTTCAACTTGACAGAAAATCATTGACTGATCAAATAATATCAACAAAAAGAATATATTCTTAATATAATCAAATGTTATTTTCGTTTCAACCCTTAAAAATTATCCTTTTTTAATTATAATAATTTTTGAACCCTTTTTGGGTTGTAATAATTTTGACAATTTTTTTTTATAAAGTTAGTTCACTTTTAATGATTGATAGGATAATGTTTATTTAACTTATTTATGATAATAACTACACGATCACATTTTTGAATTGTATTATTTTCAAAGCAAGGGATCAGCGATATCTTTATACTGCTTTACAAATATGATTGCTATAACATCATTATCTTTCTTCCTTTCTATTTTTTAACTTAAGAATTTGATAATTTCTATATAATTATCCAATTTGAATTAGCAAAAAATATTAGCGATATAGCAAAATAAATTTTGTTAAAAGAATGTTTAAGTACGCATTTAAGTTTTCTAATTTTGTTATTGTACCAATTAATTAAATCGTTAAATTACTAAATCTGGCTGAGATTCTACTGAAATGAAAATTATGGGTAATGTAGAACACTCAACGTGCAACAGCGCGACGAATGAAGAAACTTTCGAGCGGATATTCGCGAGAATGAGATCGTCCATTCACGTCCATCTTTCAACTCATCTTTACGAGTTTAGTTTCGCGCTATATTGTATGTGCAGTGAATCCCCGGTGCTCTTAGAAACTACATCGTATAATTTTCGTTAAATACAGAATTATTTGTTTATCCTTTATATTTTATTATCAACGCGATGCAATCTCGATATTTTTAGAACAAATAAAATAAGACAAAGAGATCAAAAATCTTGGAGATTTTGTGGAATATTTATAATAAAAAAACGTTAAGAGAAACATGGACATAAAATGCAAAAGTAAAATACAAATGATTTTTAAATTCTACATTGTCTGTATATTTCAATATAAGAAAGTAAAAGCCACGCGCAAATCTCGCAAAATTAATCAAAAAATTCTTCTAAACTATGAATACACACGGAGAAAAATGTACAATATTATACACTAGAATTCTAGTAAACTTTATGGAATTATCAAGTTCATAGGGATTCGTGCCTACTTATGTAAAATTTTCTTTACATTTCTGGTAAATGAGATTGTCGTATGATATTCATTCTTACTTTATTGACAACAATTTTTTCTTTAGCATTGACAAAATTTACTTTACTGCATAGTAAAATATAAAAGTTCTGAGAGTTGTTTGTGCTCGTTAATCTTGAAAATAGTACGATTTACTTTACTGTAAAAGTATAATTTAATCTTAAATCACTTGAAATAATGTACTATAATCATAATGTACTTTTTATCTTAAATCTCCGGTATTTTTACTTTTAGGCAAATAAAATTTATCACAAATTCGGTAAAAACAGCCAGAATATTTTTACTAGTCTTGTAAGGTATCCATCTCTAAATTATTTTTCTCCGTGCAGCCTTCTTGGCATCATCGGAGACATCATATCGGAAACGCAAGGAAAATGCTCTCGTTAGTTCGTTTTATCCTTGAACCACATAGATGAACGTATCAGTTGCGAGAAACTCTACGGCACGAGGCTAGTATATACCGTGTTCACAGTGATAGTGGTAGTGGCACTGGCTAAGCTGTAAATTTGGCGTATAACCATTCGAGGGTGGTCCTGGTCGAGTAGGCCAGGTTCTCTCTCTCTCTCTCTCTCTCTCTCTCTCTCTCTCTCTCTCTCTCTCTCTCTCTCTCTTCCTCGTTCCGCTTTTCGGAGGCAGTCGACGAGGGGGTGGGCGACAGGCAGGGGGGTGAGACAGGAGACGGGGGTCGTAGAAGCATTCATAGCAGGAACCAGAGGGTGGCTTCGGTGGAATGCGTCCCGTTTAATATCGCGGAACATTATATATCGCCTCTCTTGTCCCTACGTTGCCCGTG